CTGCAGTGAAAGAAGCTTCATTTTCAATTAACTGTCACTGTTGAAAGGTGCAAAGCCACTGCAACTATTTAATGAAAAAGGCCAACAGAGCTTGACTCCAATCCACAAAAATACACTTGTCTTAAAATGTAAAAAAAATGAGCTAAAGCTGTTATGATGCTAACGCAAGTTGTATAAATCTTTTTGAAAAAGCTCCTCCTGCTGGAAACAAACCGGCTTGTAACACAGGAAATTGTTACCCTGCTTGCAGGGGAAGCTGAGAGAGTCGGTTGCGTCAGACTGTTTGATGTTTTGGCATTGATTCTGGTCAGAGCGTCGTCCAGTCTCTTTCCATCCACCTCCAAGTCTGGCTGTTCCCTCGCAAAGGCCAAGGACAGCTGCAGCACAGAGAACGAAAGAATTAACCGTCTCATCAACAGTTTAGAGCATCAGTTTAGCTTTAATCTATTAAGAGTTAATGAGTCCCAAAATGATCGTAGGCAGCCTAGAAGGATACAGTTACAGCCTAAAAAACAAGATAACAGACTGTATCTGGATCTATATTTGGACCTACATCTATCACTTTACTAAAATGACTGCAGTTTTTATTTTGAAGGATCAAGTTCACCTCAAAACCTGTCAAATCAGCACGTTTACCTGATTTTTTGTTTTTTTTTAATCGGTAAAATAATGTGAATGCATGTTTTTAAAACAGTTTATATCTCTCCGTTAAAAGCAGTACCTCATTGTGGCGTCCACAAGGTGCTTGACCCGGACTTAAACTTCTTCAACCTCCTGTGCGCAGGTTTGGGGTAAATCAAAGGGCCCCAGCGGTGGCTCTCTGGGCCCTCAGACCCTGGGAAACACAGATCTGCGACAATCAGTCCTAAATGCTTTAACAGCATTTGTTGTAATGTGGCCGTTACTAAAAATACATTGTCTTTATTCTAACTACAGTAACCTCGGTGTCGATTCCCAATCATCCAGGAAGGCAGGCAGAGGCGTCACCGAGTGTCCCTCAGAGAAGAACACGGATGTTCCTAGTGTAAATTATGCAGCACTGCTTCATCTGAGAACATAAAAACAACATGAACAATGAACACAAATACAACACAGCACACACACCTTCTGTGCTGACGACAGTCCGGTCCATGGAGGCGTGTTCTGGTGAACAGGATCCTGCTGAGGCTCAGCTCCGTCCAGAAAAGCCAACTGTTGAGGCGCGTCACTCAGGACGTAGTTGAGTTCTAACCACACACACACACACAACAACACAACCACGCACACAACACACACACAGTCACACCACACACACAACACACACACACTTACATTACTAGTCGAGTTACTACTACTAAACCCTTTGATCTTGTAACTAACTAAGGTTCATCTTCAAAATGATTGTTTTGATCGACTGACGCCGTCAAAAGCCAAAAAGAAAAAGCAGGCAAATGTTTATATTTTAAAATTTAGACAATTATCAATTATATATTTATAATATTTCAATTTCATGCAAAATAGACACTGATTAATTTCCTTTTTACTGTCTACAACGTTGCCAGCTCTAAAAGCAGTAAGGTGACATGGACAATATGATTAAAGCCATTCTATATTTACAGTTAGTTACGTGTGTAAGACATTTAATTCTTTAGTATTGACTGTAACTTTACAGCGACTCGCATGTCCACACAGCGGTTCAGCACACCTCCCTCAGCAGGCCACCGCATCCCGCTGCCACCTCCGCCAACCTGAGGAGGCAGAGAGGACGATGAAGAAGAAAAAGAACAGATGAGGTGAACATGTAACACAACCACACATACACACACACACACACACACACACACTTACAGGGTTGAGGCCGTGCAGCTGGCAGGGCATACAGAGCTGAAGGAACACGTCACATCAGCAGCATGGGGTGCACGTGGACCACAGGATGTTCTCCACCAGCCATAGTCCACATATTGTACCTGGTAACACCGACATATTATCATTACCGATAAAGGACACATTAAAGCTTTTAATTAGTTTCCTATGCAGTTTAGCACATACTGCGCTGCGTAACATCAATCTCTTAGCCGTGCCACCAGTTGATTGGGTAACTTTTAAAAAGTTGTGAACTATAACAAGAAAAGGGTTTTTTGTTGTGTGTGTGTGTTTTTTCCCAGACCTTAACGTGTCCCTCCAGCCACCTCCAGCAAGCTGTCCTCGTCCCTTTAACAACAATCAGGGGCAATAACAGCACAGCCAGGACCGACTTCCAGGTGTAGCGGCTTCTGTTCTGGGCAGCGTGTTTCATGCTCTGCCTGCTGAATCCTCGTCCCTATAAGCTGCACCAACTGAGAACTCTGAAACAGCCAACGGACACCATTTATTATATCCTCAGTTTTTATTCTGCCACTTTCTCTGAACTATAAGAAACAACCAGGAGTTTAAGACTATTAAAAAAACAAAGGGATTTTAAGAGCAGATACAAGCCTGTTCTGGCCCTTTTCAATCAAATATAAAAAAGGAAAAACCTAATAAACATAAACGCAGAGAGATAAAAAACGAAGTTTAATCTCATTCCTAATTAAGCCAAGGTTGATTGATGTTGTCTCATGTGCACGCTGCATTACTGTGTCCTGGTGTACACATGAAGACCGTCCTCTCTCCGATGCGGAGACATTTAGTCTGGATGTTGACCGCAGACACGGCAGCCTCTGGGGGGTTTGTACAGCTTGAGTCTTCACCTTGTTTCTCAACACACACAACACAGCACGACACACATCAAAGCTTGATAAGAACTCGGTGTGTGTGTGCTTGTGTGCTGTGTGTGTGTGTGTGTGATACTCGACCTTTTTCCAGCAACATAATGCTTGCGCGGGGGGCCTCTTTGGAAAGGGTGGGAGTGGAGGGGACGGGGGCGATTGGGGGAAAAAGGAACGGGACGGAGAAGCGCCAATTGACTTCAGGAGTAATCCTGTTTCATCATCAGCAGGCTAAGAGTTTGTTGTCCTCGACCTCACTGGAGCACTGTGCCATCAGTTTCTTTGCGGTTTTCTGGAATGAACAGCAACTCTTGCACCAAAGAACAGAAAAACACAAAACTCTGGATAACATTTGCCTTAAAATTAAACACTTGAAAATCTGCCACTTGACGACAAGTAACCAGAATACAGAAACTACAAAAAATACCAACTTGAGGGCCAACTGAGGATATTGTTCTGAGTGTAAACACCCTCCAGAAATAGTAGCAAAGATTAAAGAGCCGCTTTGTAGACAGTTTCAGAATGCGTCTGATCGCTCCCAAATTATTCTGCAGCATAAACAACGAACCCCAAAACCATACAGCCAGAAGTCACATTAAAGAAACCCTGTTCAAAGACAAGAGGAACAAAGAGATCCTGCAGTCAGATGGTCCTGGTACCCACAGGACCCTGATCTCTTCCACATCGATGGAGTCAGTCTGGGATTACAATGAAGGCACAGGAGACACTGAGAACGGAACTAAATCCCTCAGAAGAACTGAAGCAAGTCGTCCGAGATACGTGGGACAAACCAACCTTGAAAAAACTGTGGCACCAGCGTACCCGATGAAGACTCATGCTTGCCAGACTGTTTGAATTTGATTTAAGGTTTTTTTTCTTTTTTCATTACACTTTGTGACGGAGTGACAGTTAAAACTGATGATTAAAAACTTATTCAGGGCTTTATTTTTCTAAAAGGATCTCTCACTAATACTTTTAGTGCCTATAAAACTTTTGCACATGCTACACGAGGAAAAACAAAAAAGGTTGCTAATGTTGTTAACAAGAGACCTGTAAATACAATAATCACACACACCACTCTCTTCATCGCCATTTGGGCACCACAACCTCTGTTTCCTTTCTCCTGAGGGCGAGGCACCTGCGCTGACGGCAGAAAGTCTGCAATTCTGACCAAACTGTCCCAATCTTGTTGGAGCAGAACAGCAGTGACGGGGGGCTGGACGCTCAATACCGTCAACTCCTGGACAACGAGCGACGAAGAGACAGAACACACACTCAAAACTAGGTCACACATAGTAACAAAGACAGAGGCTGCATATTGGAGTAACGGGACAAAAAAAAACTAAAAACATTGACATGGAGGGAAATGTTTTTGGATATTTTGAAGCAAACATGGAAAAATAGAGAAAGAGAAAAGGAGCATGAAGAGAGAAAGGAGAGGAGACCTTTGATGGTCATAAACAGCCGAGGCTTCCCGTCAGGGTAGTGGGAGAATAAAGTCGCAATGCTGTGGCCGTCAGGTGGATCGGGCCTCCTGGGGCCTAAGAGAGGAGAGAGGAAGAGAGAAGAGAGAAGGAGAGAGAGAGAAGCGAGAGAGAGAGAGAGAGAGAGAGAGAGAGAGAGAGAGAGAGAGAGAGAGAGAGAGGGAGGAGAGTGAGGACGAAGTCTAGATCTCACACACACACTCCATGTGTGAAACGTTGTGTATTAGCTGAATTAAAAGCCTTGTGCTGCATTTAAATCATGAGAAAGGTTAAACATTGTCTGAGGGTTTGTGTGTCTATTTTATGGATGGATATACTGAACGTGTCTCAGTGCATCACTAAATACAGAGTGTGTGTGTGTGTGTGTAACCTGATGTCAGTGAGGGTGCACTCCAGTGCCAGAGAGCCCATCAGAGAGGTCGGCAGCGGCTGCAGGTTGCTGACGTGGAGCTTCACCTTGTTGCCATGATCACAGCGTATCACCTGGTAACCAACCAACAGAGACCAAGAGGCAGAGTCACTATTATTAATTGCAGACAAGATTAAAGCCTTAATAACTTACAGTGAATGCTTTAATTTAATTAATTATTTTAATTAACTAATGTCCTCTACGGTAAATATCTGTAAATAATCTGATCAATCAGGCTGCACTTTATAAAATTCAGTCTGGATCAAACAAATATCACAAATATCAAAACTCCAACTCAAAATCTCTCATGTTGCAGTAAAATGGCTGTAAAGAGATGTAACAGACGACCAACTCTACGTCCAGGCTGATCTTTGGGGGCAGCAGCTTTTGTACCTCTGCAATGTTGCTGGACGTGACGTCAGAGCAGATCTGTCCTCTCTCCCAAACCCCGTTAATCTGAGCAGCACAGTACATGTCTTCCTTCCACGCCACATCTCGGGACTCCACGAGCGCACACTCTTTCTTTACCTGCTCACATATCCTGAAAAACACAGGAAGATGTCATCACAGAACTAAACAAGTACTGGGTGTTCTACAGGACAGCACAAACAAACCTGGTCCTCAACTGGAAAGAGAACAAAGAACTTTTCTGTACCAATATTTGGTTTATTTAAAAAGGATTTTTAACTGCTGACCTTTTGAGCTGAGAGTTGTACTGGGTGAGCTGGACGTAGAAGCTGCTCGGGGAGTTGACGTGGCAGACTCTCACTTTCAGGTCTTTGAGCTGGGCAGGGAGCCTCAGCTGAAGCTGAAACTCCAGCGGCTCCTCATCCTGCTCTCTGGGGACGTTTTGGTCTGGGCTACCAATGCCCTCCGCGGCTGAAGCGAGCTCCAGTGGAGGGTCCCATACAGCAGAGTCATCACCAGGGGGCCTGACATGCTTGGACTTCGGTCTGAAGGAGGGAAGAAGGAATTGGGGGAGACAGAGGGGTGAAAAGAGGTGAAATGGAGATAATGAACAACGACGAAGAGTGACAGCAAGAGGTGGCTTTTTCCATTTTCACACTAATATCCCAACACTGAGTATCTGCAGATTACCAATACCTGACAGTTCAGACACTCTACTAAGCTTTTCCAACATATTTCTTCAGAAATATCACTTTAAATTCTCAGATCAGATAACTTACCGTGGCCATGTTCCCATTAACGCTTAGAAATATAAGTTGTAGAGGACACCCCAGATAAGCCTCACCCGTCTTTGAAGCAGGCCAGCTCCTCTTTCACCAGCAGCTCGGCGATGTTGGATATTGGCCCGTTCAGGCCGCTCTCAAATAGATTGATTGGCAGCGGCTCAGTTTTGGCGACTTTTCCTGGAGGGATGCACAGGAAAGAAAATAAAACTGGTGACAAAACACAGAAGTCAGCGGTCAGTCAGAAATCAGAAAACACTCCCTCGTGCACAAAGTACCTGTAGCCACAATAGTGACCAGTTTCTGGTGAGCCAGGCTGATGAATCTGTTGGTGCAGGCATCGCTCCAGGTCTCTCCATCCAGAGGAATCACATTTGACAAACAGCATTGGATTGCCTGGACAGCAGCAGCAGCAGCAGCAGAAGAAGAAGAAGTGTCAAGAGAGTAAAGTATAAATACATAAGTAAGTAGTTACTGTAACGTAATCTACTCTAGGCTGATTTTAATGCTGCAGAATTGTTATCAGAAATGAGCGGCCACAGCGTCTAGACAAGATTCTTCCTTGAGGATTATTAGTGAAGACAGTCAAGGTGCGTCATTACTCCACATGAGGGCAGACGCAGTTTATGTTGTTTTCTTTGTTTACAAAAGTTATCTAGAATTACCGCCTCACAGTTGTACGTATATTTCAGGTTAGATCCTTTTTTATCCCTGGAAATTTTGTCATAATTGCTGTATGTAAGGTTATGATGACCTTTAACCTTTGACCTTTGACCACCAAAATCTAATCAGTTCTTCCTCGAGTCCAAGCGAATGTTTGTAACAAATTTGAAGAAATTCTGAGATATAACGTCCAGGAGACTGGGACGGACAGACAGAGACGGATGTATGGACCGACAACCTGAAAACACAATGCCTAATGCTGCTGGAGGCCTAAAAATAAATATCAGCTGACCAATCAAAACTGTTTTCTCACCATGGAAGGGAGGGCAAAGAACTCATCCTTGATCTTCTTCAAGTCGCTGACTGACAAGATTTTCTTATTGCCAAAGTCTACAAACCGCACTTCCACCTTTCTGCCCCCTGGATGACCTACACAGAACAGACACAGACACACACTTCTGGTTAGTTGGCAAAGTAACCCTTTTGCCAAATTGAAGTGGCAGTGATCGTCTTCCACGCCATCTAAATTTCAGTTCAAGTCTCTGTTAACAAAACCAGTGCTTTAACATGTGGCAGTGACGTGACAGTAGTAAGCAATATCCAGAACAGACATTTATTTAAAACCTTTAACAGGTGCACACACAGCCTCACCTATGACCTGGGCTCTGTACCACTGCTTGTCATCGTAGCGGGCAACACAGGCCTGTCCAATCACAGGGCAGTAGATGCAGAGGTCATCCTGTCCAGCCACGGTTGTCGCATTGTAACAGTCCTGGAGCTTGGCCGAGAGCAACAAGGACTCCATGTTGTCGACCTGGTCGGGGATAGAGAGGTGTGGGTGCGGGGCGGGGGGGCACACACCAAATGAAAATATTGATAAAGAAAAAAAAAACAAAAGATAGTGAAATAGTTTCTGTGATTTTTCTTAAAATGCTAACCTTTATATTTTCTCTTCTAAGACCACAAGGCTTTTTATATCCCTGACATCTAAGCCTCTCTTATATACATATACTGCATGTGTGTTTCTTTATGTGCATATCTAGTACCAGCTGGATGAAGAAGTCAGCAGGGTCGTTGATGTGGGACACCACGGCATTGAGCTCTGTGTTGATCTTGGGATAGACAGGAGGGTAGTACAGCAGGGGCCTCCTGCTCAGCGTCACTGGAGAATAAAACCTATCAGCACAGAGCACAGCCAAAGTTAGACAGTCTTCAGTAGCAGGGCTCGATACTCAGAAAGTCTGAATTTTTTCCCACACATGTACCTGGCCACTTCAATGAAAACAAGGTACTCTCTGACAGAGATGGGTATGTCACTGGATTGGTCCATGGGCGCTTTCCTCAGGTCCACCAGCAAAGAGTCTGAGTCCTGACCCAAAGGCCTCATCTCCACTGCTGCAGAGCTGACCACGCTGAGGAATTCAACCTGCGCCTCTTTACTCCAGCCTTTTGTCTGAACACACACAGAGAGAGAGAGAGAGAGAGAGAGAGAGAGAGAGAGAGAGAGAAAACACACCTCCTACTTTTGCAATGAAAAAACATTTTAAAAATAAAACATGACGCTAAATTTCACGCAAGAGGCACTTGTATGTTCCACCATGAGCTCCATGACAAAGAACACGTATGTTTACAGTGCTGGTAGTTTAAACCAGTACAGAAGTTAAACACAATGATCAATTTTACCTCATTAAGAGGCATATTTGTGCAGCAAGGCACATCAAAATCTAATCAGATCATCATAAGTCTTGTTCTTGAGTTATTTATTCACAAGAGATTTTAAATCGTCTGTTAACGAGTGACAGCAGCCTCTGCAAAATCAGTGTTACTTCGTTAATATGCAAATTTGTGCAGAAATATGCTGCAAAATCTAATCAGATCATCTACTCTACCTGAAGAACCTGTGGTGTAAGTATGAAGTTTCTAACATGTTCTCTCATGTCCCTCATCAGAGAAGAAAAATGTAAAATAATTCGGTCAATCACAGATAATGTATCAATGTGAATCTCAGCGGTCTTACCAGGTCATACGGGACCAGGTCCTTGAGGGAACATCTGATGGCTTGAGGAGCAAAGTGACCCAGGTCCACATTTAGTGCCTTGCCCACCTTCCTCAGGTGCTTGTTCACAGCGTTCAGTGAAGACTCGGTGGTCGCCTCGTCACTGCAGAAGGTGAGAGAGAAGAGAGGAGGATGTGCAAGAATTCTACTGAGAAATGCTTCACAATCAACTGTATTCCTCTGAAATAGGCACTGGCAACAAATAAATGCTGAATAGTTTCTTTAAACTGGGGCCATACTGAGAAGCTGAGACATAACATCATCTTTCAGTACAGAAAGTGAAACAATCATGTTCTGATGCTGGAAGATATGGTCAAATTCAGCCCAAGAGCAGAGCGTCTGAAAAGAAACCTCCAAGACCCCCCATAAATTAATCACAGACGGCCGATGACACAGACTGGTGGACAATTAAATCAAAAGGCTTAAAAAATAAAAATAAAAAATCACATGACCGTATATATCTGTGAAACAAGGGCAGACAGAGAGGGGGGGGTGACATGCAGACGGTCTAAATTAGACAAAAGATTTTAAACACCGATGTGTGAGAATAAGAAAAGGGAAACACCTGGACGACTGCTGGTTTTGCAGGGAAGCAGACAATGATGTAGCAGTAAGGATGAGGTGGTGGATAGTTGCCAGAATGAAAGCCAATTTGTTCCAGAGAGATTGAGGCCATATTTAATTGGACAGTATCTGGAGCGTGTCACTATAGAACGGTTTCTACGTACACCTATCCGTTTGCGCGTGTACCTCTGTATCGTGATGCTTTTGGTGAAGCCGTAGTCGAGGAAGAAGACCCGGACAGTGGCCAGCTGGCTGACTTTGCAGGTTTTCACAGCGTCCGCACAGCCAACCTGCAACACCTCCACCACACTGGTCCGACACCAGAGCCCCTCCTTCCACTTCACAAGGATCATGGAGCCTGAGGACGAGCGGAGGAACAAAGGCTGAATCAATAAACCTAATAAACGTCTAATTTGCTCAACATTAATTAGGTCAAGGCTTTACTTTAACTTTCATTGCCATATGCTTAAACTTATTTCTCCATCACTTTGAGGACACACAAACACACACCAGTCTCCACTGCATCACTGGAAGAGAAGTGGCAACTGTCTCTGCAGCAGAAGTGGTTGATCTTCTTAGACATGGACTCGCTCTCCCTCCTCTCGGCCACGTAGCGCACGTAGAAGTGACTTGGATTCACGACGTGGGTCACCACCACCCATTGGGTGACTGGGAAGTAAAGTAAGACAAACACGAGGGAGATAAACAAGGATGAGAAAACAGGAAAACTGGGTCACAGATGAAGAGGATGGAGACTGGAGCTAGTAATGTCTTTTGTGTTGCAGGACGAGCCTCGAGTTTTGTATTATGGGCTGTTTGTAGTGTGTGTGTGTGTGTGTGTTGAAAGTGTTTTCTGCTGGATCATGTTACATGTACTACGGCACAGAGGAAATAATTTCACTACTAGTAGATTGATTTCTTTGATAAATGTGTTGAGCTGCCAAGATAAAGTGTCACAAAATGTCACATGAGAAGATTTGAAGCTGAAATCAACAAACGAATCCACTGATTCTCTTTGAGATGGTAAGTTTGTTATGCATATGTGCATTACATTTTAAAGATATTTTTTCATATCTTTAAAATAAAAAACAAGACATTTGAAAGGTTTCAAAGGCAGTGTACCCGTCTACACTGATTTATCAAAGACGAATATTCTTGTAAGTCTTTGAGATAAAACGAAATTTGAGGTTTGTTTTATATTCACATTAATATTCTATGTATAATCTTAATGTAACTACAAAAATCCACAATTGCCTCTCCCTACCATTTCTCCTATTGCCAAAAATCTGATTTTTCCTTCTCCTGTGGACTCTCCACTTGTCATTAGCCAGCTCAGGGCCGGTGGGCGGGGGAGCAGCTGCAGGTGCATACAAGACATTAAACAGAAATAGATTAAGGCCTCTCTTCTGTGTCTATCATAGCCAATTTAATATTCTGATTGATATCATTGACATTATGTAAATGAGATCAAATGAGGCACAAAGCCACACACACCGTGCTCTTGTCCCTCCTCTAAGAGCTCCTCAATAATTACATCTGGAGTCCCGATGTCTGAGCCCGAGCTGTGGCGAGAGGCGTTGGACCTGCGCCGAGGTCTTGGGCTTGGGGAGGAGCCCCGTGACGAATGACTGTTAGCCCCCGGGCTCTCCTTGTCTGGGTTTTGTGGGAAAGGGGTCTTGCTGCGACTGGGTGACACACACTTCCTGCCCTCTCCGCGTTGCAAGAGTGATTTTCTGTTTCCCGGCTGGTAGCCTTTGGGTGGAGAATCGGACAAGCTAAAAGGGAACAGCAAGAGGACTTTGTTTCAGAACAAAGAAACCATACAAAGGAAGTAATTTACAAATATTTACACATATTATTTTGTGTAATATTCTCTAAAAATGAAATGAATTAACCTGAAAAACACTATGTGCAACAGATGCAAAATTAAAAGATTGGGGGCAATAACAGGAGAGGCTACTGTTTGTATTGGGGTCTAGTATTTTCCCACTATGTTTTGGTGAAACATCAACTTAAAAAACTTAGACCTACCAAATACCCCCCCCCCAAAAAAACCTTTATTCATGTAGTTCAACATGTTGTCCAGTTTCAAGATGGAATAACAAACACTCATTTAAACAGAATAGCCTGTACTAGAACAATGTTTCATGTTAATGATGTATCGTGATGTCTGAAGTGGCACAGATGAGAGAAACTCTCCTCACGGCCATAACTCGTAACTATGGTAACAGACAGCTGCTTGGCTGTGTAATGAAGTTCTTTACTGAGGTTTTATAACTCCAGTTCTAGAAAAAAGAAAAACAGAGGCCGGGATTTTTGGCAGTTTTCATCCCCGGGCCCAAATTAATCAAAATGAGATATTGGACATATTGGAAGATATTTACTGCTTCGGGTTGCTGACTTCCATCTTCAGAGACAAGGCCAGACTCCTGCTGAGACTTTCTGACTGCAAAACACAGCTGGAACACAAACATACACACACAAAACTTCAATGTTCATGTATAGTGAGTAAAAAGCTTGTCCCTAATGTTCTGCTTCATGCATCTACAGCACAATAAACAAGTACAGGGCACAGGAAATGAACAGTGGCGAGTACATCAATCAATTTCAGTATTGTAGTATTTAACACAATGTGGTTTCCTTCAACAGACACAGCAAACCTCATTCCAGAGCCCATAGTAATGCACTTCATATCGAAGGACTGCTTATCCACAGGGGCCTGCAGCGTCTCCAGGACCTATCACCCACACACAACCACACAAACACCACAGTCAGTTTTATAGTATCTGACACTGTGTGCTCACCATGAAAGAATAAGCATAGCTTCTCATACCTTATCCAGGGTGCAGTACTGCTCCAGGAAGGGGACACGGCGGACTTCTCTGGCCATCTGCATTGCAATCTCCAGGGCCTTTATCCTCTCCTGGACTCGGCACGCTTCCGCTTGGCTGGTGGAGAACTGTGCCTCCAGTTTTGTCAGCTTAGCCAACTGCACATCCCTCCTGTTGATAAGGAAATTGCAGGTGTGACGATAAATGTCACTTTACAGACTTTCTCCAGAGAATAAAACAATCTGAGGAGAAGCAAGACCTGTGTGAAATCTTGGGCTTCATATCAACAGATCTGACATTTTTCCAGAAGAGAAAATAGAATCTCGTTATACAGCTTTTACTTTCCATACCACTTTTGGATAGCATGAGAAGCCTTGTCTGCAGCTTGTTTGATCTCCGTCTCCAGCCGAGCTTTCTCTCTCTTCACCTGTTCTGCCAGGCCAGTCGTCAGAGTCTGCACAGATGAAACACAGACATGGAAGACTCACTTTTGATTTACTCTTGTCTTTCTGATATGCAAGAATGTTTTTCTTTCCTTCAACTTGTGAGAAGTTTTTTGGATGTAGCGCAGCTTTCACCTCGTGGATGTGTTCCAGCTGAGCAAGATTTTCTGCAGCCTGGACCAATGCCTCATCCACCGTCTTCTCAATCTTCTCAATATCTGCTGGCTGAATAAAACATAACCAGAATTTTAGCCATTTTAATCTGAATCATTTGTGCTCAGCCGATACACCCTCCCTAAAGTTACTGTTCGGGTTCACGCTGGCTGCTAACACACTGTCATTTTCAGACACAAAAGGCTAAAAGAGAGTGAACATTGAAGTAACATTCATCAAGCGGTCTGAAACAAAACTCCAAGCTAATGCTATTGTTTCTCCTGAGCTACTGGGTGTATAAATCTGCAACTGAATCACTTAAAGTTGATGATATGTCAATACTGTTTTTACAACTTGTTTCCAATTCCCTCAACTGGCAAAAAAAAAAATCAGTTATTGCACATTTAAATTAAGGACTGATGGTAAAATTATGTCACTGTGTGTCAAAGAATAAAATATAATTCGAGCTTCAGCAACAGCTTGAATTCTGATCAGACATTCTGCAACACCAATACACCCGAATCAGCCATGGATCTTATCCTCATCCTCCCAGGAGAGCCAGGAGGAGCCACAAATCTTCCACATGTCTCCTTATCTCAAAAGGAAGTAACTCAAGAGATATCGCTATTCAAATGTTTACGCCAGAGATGAATCTGTAAGCTTCTTCTTGGTCAGTAGTGAAAGCGTATGACAACAAGAGAGGAGTTTAGATCGATTGAGAGGTTAGTTCTCAGAACAGTCTTGCAAAATTGATTAGTTCAGTCCCTACACCAATCCATCTGTCGATACTGGACTTCCACTTGTAAACAAAACCCTGTACTAAAAGACAGGCAACATCTCATCCACAACACACAAGGAGCAATTTACCTTTTCACTCAAGACTTGCAAGCACTGTTTTTATCCCAGTCACTTGACACTTGTAGTTCTGTACTCTAATGCCATCTCACATAAGGTACTACGATACAAACCCACGTCTTAGGCAACATGGGTAAAACTTCTCATTACCCGCCAGCAACCTCTGTGATCACCCAAACATACCTGATCCATATCCTTGGTATTGGCGTTCATTTCTGGGGATGTTGATAATTTGTTCCTTTTGCGATTCCTTAATCTGTCATACTGGAGGCTTCAGGAGATGACGACAAAGAAATGATCAAAGCAAAGACCGGTTCTCTTTAAAAAGAATCTATTGCGCAATCTGATCAAACAAGGAGGAGGCAAAAGAATCAGAACTGTTTTGTTTTTTTTACCTTTTCATTTTGTTCATTTTAGCAGTGTAGATGAGGCCAATAATTCTGCTGTCCTCCTGCAGACAGTACACCCCGCCTTCAGGGAGCGTGGACTTAACCTGCAGAGGGGGGAACTTTGTTTTTTCATTGTCATCCTACCATTTGAACATTTTCAGCCTTGAACTTGATGCAAATCACAAAGTCGAAAACCACTTTGCAAGATTAAGCGATTGTCTGGCTGGTTACCAAACCAGCAAGGACAAAGTTTGCATTTTATACCTAGTCTGAATTATTTCAGTTGCAATTTTACCTCACACTCTGGACATGTAATGACAGTGTCACACTGAATGGACCGTAGACAAGATGTGCAGTAGATGTGGCCACATAAAAGCACACGAGGGAGGTTGCCGTCAACTTCATCCTCTGAAAAGAGAAAACAAAATAACACACACACACACAGCATTCAATAAAGACAAGCATAAATAATGCAATGTTTGTGTAATGACAAATGCAAAAGCATATCATGTACATTTTTGTTATTGCGAAGAATAGCCACCGATTCCTACACAAATAAGGGGCTGGCTCTGTCACCTGGCCCACATCAAATGTTAGATGATTTACAGTGGAAACAAAAAGTTTGTGAATCCTTTAGAATGACCTGGTTTTCTGTATTTTCTTCATCTATAGATAGATAGATAGATAGGTAGATAGATAGATACATAGATAGATAGATAGATAGATAGATAGATAGATACATAGATAGATAGATAGATAGATAGATAGATAGATAGATACTTCATTCATCCCCTAGGGGAAATTCATTCAAATTAAGTTACAGACAACAGCACACAAACAGTTATAATATTTAGTGTCTTTATTGAAAAACCCATTAAATATAAGTAAAAAAATTATCAAAAGAATTTAAATTTCTATTTTTGCACAGAATACATAAATTCAAATAGTTATTTTCAAAAACATTTAAGGCCTTGATTTTCTTCTTCTTCTTCTCATATTCACAAACTTAAAAGTATAACAAGGACCCATGGAAACCCTGTTAGTTACAGCCTTATTAATTTAAAAATTTGAAGAAATCTGGTTAAAAAATATTTAAGGATGGAGATATTTGTCAAAGTCAGAGTCGTAGTTTAAGCAGCGCGTTAGTTGTTGCGCGTGACCGGGACAACATGGCTGAACTCGCCTGGGCGCGACATTTTCAGCCTGTGCTCCAACTTAAAGCTAGCTTAGCTATCAGAAGAAAACCACAACATATAAAGACCTTGAGAAGGTAAATCATTGTCTGCTAAGTTTTATTAGCCACGTTGTGATATTAACGCAAGGCTTATTATATAAAACCTGCACATTCAAACAGCTGCTAACACACGTGACATTAACTAGCTGCAGCTAGCTAGCTAGCAGGCGTCGTTTAGCCGACAACAACTTATAAAAAAAACTTAAAACACGGAGGTTAAACTGTAAGAAAATGGATGTTAATGTCCTACCAGGAAGAGTGAAGACCTCTCCACATAACTTGCAAATGACAGCGCTGGGGTTGCTGTCCCGTCTGTCCATCATTAATGTCTGTAAAAATCTTTTTTCTTTAGTCGCAAACGATAAGATGCAGGCGGTTGTCTTTGTCACGTGACCAAGCAGGTGCGTTCAGTGACCAAGCAGGTGCGTTCAGTGACAACGGGACGAAGTTTAATCATGAATAATAACGAATATTTTAGTTTGATTATCACAAAGTGTTATTAATTCAGCTTTAATGTTTTGATGTCCTGTCTTATTACATCAGGTAAAAGTTTAGTTTAGTTTAGTTTAGTTTAGTTTAGTGAGAGGGATGATCCCAGGTAACATATATCTGCAAAATGTCAAGAATAATACAACAAAATCCAAGGTTTATTTCCACTGTGGTCCAAAAAAAACATACTAATATCAAATTCATATAATAAATAAAATGTGTGGACAACATATGAGTGTAATTTACAAGCCAGTAGGTGAGAAAAAGATGGACACATACTGTAGCTGTATGGCTCTATGATTACTAAGTACTTTTCAGTTTAAGATTGTAAAAGATACAAAACAACCACAAAGAGACTCAAACACACACTGACATCTGCCTCATTTATCAATAACATGTCAGTGAGTGAAGGTAGTGATGTCTTCTCAGTCATGGCAACTAAGGTCAGGGAGTAATAACAGCTAAAAATTTGAGTCCTAATTATGTACTCTTCTTTTTTGGGCACTTGAGGGCGCCAAAGACTAAAGCAGACACACATCAATACAGGTGGTCCATGAGATGATGGGTTCACAAAGGCCAGCTGAAAAAAGTATACCCCAGAGCTCTTCACATGTGCAAATATTCACTTTTATGTTCTTTTTTAAAAAATTTTTATGAATACCATGTGTCACCCTACTGAGCATCTCTTTTTGGAAATCTGCAGTTTGGCATCTGTTTGTCTTTGCATCTCTGGGTTAAACATCACAGGTGATAGTGTGTGGTTATTTTGGAGGATGTAAATGTGTAAAAGGAAAGTGCCTTTAGTCCCAATGTGTTTGATGTGTCTAAACTGAAGCTATAAGCTGAAACATTATGAGTTTGCATCGTTTTAAACCTTTGTTTGTAACTTGTTGTTTTTCTTTATTGTTTTATCTCCTTTACCAATCACAAAATACATTTCTCTTGCATTGTTGTGTTGTGTGATATATTCCTTTGTTTCCTTTTGAACCAATTGCAAGGCTGCACAGCAGACGTAACGGCAGCATGTCGGTCCTCTCTTCCATCTGAGCGCAGCTGCAAGCAACACCGCCCGCCTGAGGACAATCGCCAGCAACCCAGTGAAGCAGCAGTAACCGGGAGTGACAGCCAATGGAGAGCAGGGAGGCACAGGCATCAGATGGTAAAGGTAAATCATCTAGCATTCAACACGGTCAAAACTTTAACCTTCAGAGAGTGTTCATCCAAATCCCTGGAGGGGGGGGCGATGAAAGTGCGGCGAATCAAGGGGCGTCTTTCCGCGTAGAGATGGCAGGATTCAGCCCCGAAGAACAACTTGAAATACATGTGTTTCAACAGTACGACTCCCACCTCTGTGTAACTGTCCAGATAAATACAGCTCCTGGTGTTGATCTGAAGTGAAAGTAGACCATCTTGGTGTGAGGTGTGAAAGCGCCTACAGGTATAGAGTTCTACACCTGTCTGCTAATAGGAGGCAGGAAAGTATTCAAGATCACTTAACACATTAGCCCAAGGAAGTTTAACACTTTAAATGTATCTGACTAATGTGAACATCAGCTCACATATACAGTGTAGGCTGAGGGTTGAACATACCAAATAAAAGAACGTACCTTCCTTTGTTATCCTGGTATAAGTTTGATGTTCAACAAAATCCAAACTTCAAACTCAATGGGATATTAAAATAATTTATGAATAAATTTCCTATTTAAAAGAAACCTATTCAGTTCACATTCAAATCTTCATCTTCTTTAATTGTTGTTGAGTATTTGAGAGGCTTTCATTTGCAGACCACATGGATGGAGAAAGTGTATCCATAATTCAGCATTTCCCTTCTGAAATTTCACAATCATTTGTACTTCACCGCTGGTTTTGAAGTCACATGTGTGCAAGTGTGCAAGAATCTAATCAACAAAAAAATCTGTGAACTTGTTTTACATTGATTAATCACTTCCTTGTCTGTGAACAGATTTTGATGCAAGTTGATGCCAAACAAAAGAAATATTTCCTCCATATTTTCCTGCAGTCTGCATTCCAGCAGACGGGGAGCGTGTGGAGCTATGTATGAAACTGAAGGAATCTGGACACGGGTCTTCACCAGGGCAGGATGATCATAGACAGGCTGCAAGCAGGGCAGGGTCGCTGTGTGTGTGCGTGTGTGTTTGTGTGTGTGTGTGTATACTAGGGTGGGGGGGCAGTAGATGTGTTCACTATGGGTAATGAACCAATCAGCGGGCCGCCCAGGGGGGGATATGGGGGTGCGGGTTAGGGGAATGGGGGTCGCCCCCCATCTTTCCTCTTCCCAAATGTGGGTCACTTACCATCCTCGGGTGATTTCCCTCGTGTTTCCGTAGGAACAATAACCCTCCTCCACGCCCCCCCCTACCCACCCGCCCCCTCCCCAAAACCCTTATCGAGTCATTTACTCATTAATGATGCTCTTAATTAAGCTGCGTTGTCTCGTTAGCTCTCTCCTGATGATCTTGTACGACCATCCGTCCACTTCATTGTTATTCCCCGGTTATTTCCTGAATCACTTATTGTGGGTCGTCTCATGTGACAGGAGATGATGTTTATAGGAAACCGCCGATTTGCGTGTTCCTCAAAGGTCTTATTGAAAAAGAAAAACAACCCCCCCCCCTCTATTCCTTTGTTTCCACAGTATAGGTGTAGAGGGCATGAGTATTGGATTTATGGGATAGACGGCATGCACTCCAGAAGGCAAAGGTCTTCTGAGAACCATCAGAACACAATAGGATGAACCTTTAAGGTTCATCAACAAGACCATTTAAAGAGTTAATTAACCTTGATGCTGCCTCAGCAAACCTCCAACATATGGATTTTTTTTTTTCCAAGGAAGCATCACGGATTTTCATCCACTGAGGAAGCTTTTTGTCTTCCTTTGAGTCTTTGACCCACTAGCCTTGTGAGCGTGGTGTGGTACCACCCTCTTCCCTCCTGTCAGGTTAGGTCCTGACCGTCTAAAGAAGAAGAAGAAGAAGAAAAAAGCACAAGGAAAGGTCAGCACACATACAAGACCCAGGAGACTCATGGATTGGCTTTAAGTGGTTGCTCCCCGCAGGCCATTCGGTCACAGCATGAAAAGATCAGGGGCAATGGCAAATGACAGTCGCTTTATATCTTCCCTAATCTCTTTGTCTGGTCAAAGTAAAACGTGCCATTACACAAAGAAAATAAATAAATAAATCATCCACCCAAGAGTGAGAGAATCGCCCTCAGCCCGTTTGAAAGCGGTGCAACAGTTTACCTGTAAGGCAAATCAATTTAATTCACTTAATCTGATTCACACTGTTTCACACATCTGTATTATTATTTTTTTTTTCTGCTTTATGTCCCTGAAGTCAACTTTTATTTTTGATTGGTGAATATCTCCCTGGGAGTAGTGGTTATGATTAGATCCAGGTCAGCTGACACAAACAGACACAGGACTGCTCTTTTTTTTTTTTTTTTTTTTTTTTTATGTGAAATGACCGCATCAGTACACATGATGCACAATGCTGATGATGATATTGGGGGTGGGGGATTTTTTCATATTTGTTCACAGAATGGACCCATTATATCCAGAGGTTACAGATTTCCAATTTACAGCTGCGAGTGATTTTTAAGGCTTGTGGCCTTTTCAATAGCAGCTTTTGAGGTCTCGATCTGTGTAACCTACTGTAGTGGGGTTGAGGTCTTGTCCCGACACACTCTCATTTTCTAGATATTAATGCGATTTCCGTTCATTTTTCTTTACTATTTAAGATCAGGAACCACAGACATTCACTGAGTTTCCAGAAATCAGTAAACGTAATGCAATCCAATAAGATACCTACTTAAAATATTCAGTTTCTGTTGAGACTGCTACCTCCTATTGTTTGTGTTTTGACTCAGTCCTGTGGTACATTTGGAGAATAACCCAGTTCCCTTTGTCACTGGTGGTCGATGCAAAGGGTTACCCAGCTAGATAGATACCTTACAACATTTTATTTTATAGTTCAGCGTCTGGTTTCTCCCATTTCATGCCACTGTAGCACTAGACGATGTATTGTTCCTAATCTGACCGTATCGTTTTTTAATTATCTTAAGTTTTGCATTGGATCTGGCTTTGTGTTCCCGAAAAGAACTCGCTTCATGTTGTCTTCACTCGCAGCAATCTCCACCAGCTTCAGAAACTTGGAGAAAACACAACCAGCCCAGGATCACAGCTGCTGTAGCCCGGAGGAGGTGCATATCAACATCGGTGGGAAAGCTCCGTAGCTACGCTGTCACCCCGTCATGCACAATTATAAATAAACATTCAGTCTACTGTTGGGAGAGTTGGCGTTTTCAGCCTAATTTCATCTGCAGTAAGCTTCACCTGGACCAACAACAAGAGTCGCTAAAGGAGCAACGAGATGAATTGAAGATCCCTCACTGGCTTCCCACTGACGGATATGACCAATTGAAACTGCCACCTGGAATCAAACCACAGGTCGTTGCCTTTTACCCCCGCATCCCTCAACCCTGTCTCCTCGAATTTTCATTTATATACAATTAAATAGCAAATACGTTTCGTAGGAAGCGTAGTCGCTGGCTGGGTTGTGTTCACAGGCAACGTCTGTTGTGAATGAATGAAGCTGCACATTTATTAACGGCAGCAGAGTCGTCAGAAGGTGGTCGGGGTGGATGGGAGAGCGCATGACTGTCACACCAGAGACCGAGGTTTTACATCCGCAGTCCTGTCTGTGGGTTAGGCAACAAAAGCACTTTGTTAAAGTCAAGGAAAAGATCATGGGTTGTAATTAAATGTAAAATACACATGTTGAAGATGAAGTCACTGTGAAACTTTTCTGTT